ACGGTGCACACACACAATGCGTGAGATTCTGTGAGTTTTCAAGCAAATTCAACTGATGCAAACAAGACCAAAAACATCCATTATAGTCTAGAGCTAGTATTTAATGTCAAAAAGCATTGTAGGTTTCCCAAAATGGGCTTTTGATTTTGTTATAGGCATATCCCTTAAGCCAACTTCTCTGTTTCCGACTAGATTTATAGCAGTTGTTAGCTACAACTCTCTTCCTTATCTCGTTCCTTATTCTATTGAGTGGATCTAGAGCTGGGCGTGGTTCACAGAATTTCTAAACTCTCGAAGAAATGTCTTCCTATCTTCTATTAGTAGTAATACTGCTGTGCTTCATGAGTAATGGAATGTTACTGGAGGTTAATGGAGAGTCTTGTACTGAAGGATTTATGGATTATAGTCTTCTACAGGATAAAGCAAGAAATCCATCAGGTTCATTACATAATAACAGACTAGCTGAAAACACTGCCACAAGATGGATTATTATTGAGGATCAAGAAGATGAGAACTTTATGAAGAGAGACATCATGTTCACGTGTGCTACAGTTGTATCAGAAATATTGATTGGAGTTGATATAAGGACAGTTCATAATATTGGAACAGGTAGAAATTTATATCCAAGATTTGAAGTATGGAGGCCAGCTAATAACATGAATACTGTGTACACTAGAGTGATGTCTGTTGAAATCAGACTGACTCCTGATAACTTTACAACTAATGGACAGTATCGTTTCACTCTCCCTACTCCATTAAATGTCTCCAGTGGATACAGGATTGGTGTATATCAACCTCCTGATGACAGAAGTGTTGTTAGATTCCATTATATGAACCTGCCTGGTGGTATTGATGGAATAGGAAAAATAAAATCAAATAAAATTAATGATACTAACATTAGAATATCAGGAATGGGTAGAAATGTTGACTATGAATCATGGAGAGTACTAATACATCCAACAGTACAGAATACAAGTAAATAAATATTAATAATAATTTGTATGCATTTTATAAATGTAGGTTGCTTCACACAACCAATGCCTGAAAACATAGACAATTTCGTAAGCTTGATTACCAATTCAGATTTTCTTTATGATACCAGAATATTTCCTGATATAAAATTCACATGTCATGGTATTATTACTAACTGGATATTAATCGTACAAGTGACGTCAGTGATTAAAATAAGACATACAAATAATCTCACTACTACAGCTATAGCATTCAACCCCAATGATATTTTTAACATACCTCCATTATTATATAATTTTACTATGAGCAATGAGATAACAGTACAACCTGGTGATATACTGATGATTGAAAGTAATGCTACGAATTATATGTTCTATCAACAATACAATGGACCACACAATTACAGACTGGGGGACAACAATGAGTTAATTGCATTAGATACCAATGACTATCCACTCATCTCAGTTGTAATAAGTAAGAATAAAATTTATTTGGTATTATCAGTAATAAATTCTCCCATTAGAATTTATATCAGTAACTACCACTGATACACCTTCTAATTACATTACAGCATCAACCATATCCTCAATAGCTACATCAGATACCACTTCATCTAGTAGTAGAATGGCAATGTATACTACTTCCTCACTAAGCACTACAGCAACTTCAACACCAGGGCAAGGCAATGCAGGAAATGGTTCATCTACAATACTAATAGCAGCTATCAGTGCAGTCATTGTACTACTGGTAGTTACTATACTAGTAATATTGATTGTCAGTATAGTGCTGTTTAGAAAGAAGAGGAAGTTATCACTACCTGTATCATCTATTAGGAATGATAGTAATAGTAATCATGTTTATACTGATGTTAGTAGTACTGGGAATGATAAAGGAAGACTTGGTGCTGTAAACAATCCAAACTATCAACCACAAGGTATACTAATGAGAGCATTTATAGTAAACAATGTACTTTTACTACTAACAAAACTATATAATTAATGCATGATTAGGTACATATCCTAAGTATGATAGTAATTTTAATTTTTCATAGTTTTATATGATGAAGCAAAGCCTGCATTGAATGAGCATGATGATATGATTGCTAATGCTAGCTATGAACCTGCTACTGTCAGAGGAATAGAAAGTAAGACATAATGTTCACAATTAATGTGATGATGGTAATCACCTAATGCAATGCTTTATTGTCAGTTATTCAAGTAAAAATTTTGATTATTTTACAGGTGCTAAGTCAGTACCAGTTTACGAAGATCCTGTTGTAACCAAAAATAGAAAACAAGAAGTACATAAATAAACACACTCTACTGATTAACAAACACAATAAGATCAAAGCTCATAGATATACATGCAGTGTTATTAAGAATCATTGTGCATAAACAATTATTGTTTATCTTAAATATAGCAACTGAGAAGTTGCTTAGCAAGAAGATAAACACCCCATGTTTATTTATCATTATTTTACAGGCAGCTCATGTTTTGAATGATGACATGTACAGTCTACTAGGAGGAGGAATATATGTACCTACAGCAGTATGTATCACCTGATATGAATAATACATATTAATGTTATTTTATAGCATGAACGTTCAGGTGAACAAAGTGAAGAAATTTACTCTACACTAATAAATGAAGTGGTAAAGCTTAATGTACTGTGTCACATAATTTATAATATTTACTGAATGTGTGATGGTACTTTTATTATATTTTCCAATTAGTACTCCTCCACATATTCAAGACTTGATCATACTGGTGGTAATGCATTCTTTATAGAAGATACTGAGTACTGGGAACCTGATAGTAATACTGATGGTATATACCAACAATTATCTGATAGGAAATACAGAGAAATTATAAGACACCAGATAAAGTGAGAGAGAGAGAAATTAAGTAATGATTGTGTTGACATGATGTAACCAGACA